TGGGTGATTCAAGTGGTAGCATGTTTAAACATCTATTTGTGAAAGATTGTTGCAATGATAAATTATCTTCTGTTTGTTGTAACTCATACAATTTTTCGAATACTATATCTACAAATTGTTCTGAAAATACTTCTTCATCGTTTTCATTGTCTTCATCTTTTTCAAGATTTCGAATCTCAATAAGTTTTTGCAGTTCAAGAGATTTTGAAAGATCATTGTATATTCGCAACTTATGAGTAGCTGGGTTATCATAAGAATTAGGTAATTTGCTTGATAAAGATAAAATATATGTGGTGTCACGTTGCCATATCAAAAGTTGATTTTTTATACGGTTTATGTCATTTATATCATTTATATCAATTGTACAAAGCTTTTTTATCATCATTTTTGAAATTTGTTCTAATAAACATCGTTCAAAGTCTAACTCCTTGCTTTGTTCAAATTCCAAGTTAAGCATCTCTTCAATTACTGTAGGACATAATATTGACAATTGCAATTCGGTTAACGCAATTTCAGAATTACTCCACCAATATACATGGAGTCTAAAAGGGTTCGGTATTTGTTGTCCCATATTATGACTGATGATCCAAGATAAGAATTTATTGTCATTATATGTTGGTGAAAATACTGATAAGAAATCCTTGAAATATAATTCAGCTGATTCAATCAAATGTGGTAACTTCAATATTGGAACTGCTGACATGATGTTTGCAGAAAATCTTTCTATACAGTCATCAATAATAGTGGCTTTTAACTCTCCATCATCATTCAGGTTTTCTTCCTTTTCTTCTAATGTTGCCAAGTCTTCTTCATATAATCTTCTGAATTTATCAATTTGGCCCATAATATATATTGAGAAAGGAAAAACTAAATCTTGTTTTTTGTTTTGTATAAAATATCTATCTGGTCGTGGATCTAGCAAGAATTCTATATTAACGATTTTAGGATCCATAAATATTTTTTTCCAAAATTCGAGTAAGTCAACTCTGGGCTCTGGATCATCACGCTTCAGAAGGTTATTATTAAAAAGAGTTGAAAGACCTGATAATCTCTCCAATGCACAGAGAAGTTTAGCAATTGGTTTTCTAACCAGGTCACGAATGTATGTTTGAAGAGCAACGGAAAATGATGAATATAAATGTAAACTAGTTTTGTTTGTTGCTACTTGAAATTGCCAATTATCAGGTATGTTTTCCTGAAGCCATTCAAGTGATCTGGTCTTTAAGCATTCGATTAGTGTAGCATGTTGTGGTATTTGTTGGAAAAGAAATCTATTGAAAATAAAAATTACAAAATATTAAAATCATTATCATAAATTAAGTCAACAACTAAATTTAAATAAGTTAACGAACTTTATATAATCAACAGAGTTAGACGATTGAAATCGCATACAAAGTAAGCACCAAAATAATTCTTGTTCAATAATCTCCTCAAATGTATATGTATTATCAAGTATCTGAGCAATGTTTCTATTTAGATAATCCATAAGGTGATGTTTTTGAGGCTCCAAGGTTTCAATAGTAACTAAATCCCAACCACACATAAAATTAAATGATGGTTTAGTATCATTGTTTCGTTGCACGTGAAGAATAATGCAAACATGCTTTAATGGCTTAGGGTTTTCTAAAAATTTGTCTGCAGACAAATATTCATTTCTATATTGTTCAATAATGAACTTCGCAAGTTTAATACATCCAGAATTAACAATTGAGAGGTCACATTGAAGTATTAATATTTCATCATCCGATTCTAACCAGAAATGTTTAATTCGATTCTGTAACTGAGCTTCGGATTTGAACGTTGAAATTTTGTCAACTTGATATTTCAAAATATTGTCCAAGTCATTCAAGCAGAATGACATGTCGGTATTGATATTTGAAAATGTATTAATTATTACTTTGAATCCTTGCTTGTTCATAGTCTCTCCATTATCGATCAATAATGATTGAATATATTTGGAAAAGTTTTCATATTGTTGCTCATAACGTTCAAAATAGAAATTATACCAGTTTTGGGCTTCTTCATGATTTGTAAGTGATAGCATAGATTCTTTTGATCGCACAATACCATCTGATGTTGCAATGCCTATTAACAATTCTTTACACTTATTCAGAATGGCTTCATCATCATTAAATTCTTGGTTATTGCAATTATAAATAACCAAACTTTGTAAGGTTTCTTCTTTATCAAACCCGATAAAAATATCATGCTCATTAAATTCGGATTTGGATGTGTCACCCTTCTTTATGTAATTTGATATTTGCTGTGACCAGTCGGCAAGCTTTGCTACTAATCTTTCCATATAATCGTCTAAAGCATCATTAATAGACATCTTTTGTTTTTCAAATCGATTCAGAAGCGGTGGATCTGCCAGATTTACATTTTTCTCATCCAGTACCAAAATGCAACGGAAGTTTTCATGCACACAAACCATAGGATTAGAATAAGCTCCCAATGCTACTCGCGTATAATATTTTATATCACCTTCCTTGCCAACAGTTATATAATTCTGATTCCATAAATCATAAAGACTTCCTATAAACATAAAAAGTAAATAGGCTTAATGTTATAAATTTTCGAAAAATATTATTACATTACAAGTACAATTTTAAAATACCATATATAATTTCAAGATCTGTCAAGATAAGTGGTCTTCCGGCCTCAACACACATCTAAAATAAATAATAAAATATGAAATAAAATAATACACACACTTAATAACGATCGAAGCTTTGCATATCTTACCATAATACGACTCAATACTCCATACTGATAATCGTCGTCGCAATCATCTGGAAACTGACTTCCATAAATTACCACAGGTTCTAAATCCCAAGATGTCTTTTCATCAATAGCATCAATATCTTTCTTTTCCGATAGTTCTTTATTCCAATATCTCAATTTATATGTCAAAATATTGACAATGGAATCACTTTTACCAATTAACATTAGATGTCTAGCATTCTTATCTTTAAGATTTGCTTTGATAAGGTCTTCAGCAGAAAATTGAATGTGGTGATGATCGATTGCATCAAATGCTTTTAAAACATTGACAAAATGTTCATCATACAGCCCATCCGTTTGGTTTGTTCCCCCAAAATTTCTTGCTAGTGCCATTTTTATGGAATTCGGTGTAAGCTGTTTCATTTAAAGTTTTAAAAATTAGAGATAAATTGCAGAGAGTAAAGAAAACCAAATTTTTTAATGTGTGTAATAATACCTCACTACCGCCAAGACTTTTTACCAAAGAGTAATAATCTCGGAGTCCATGAAAATTATCAATAGGTTGTTTTTTCTCATACTCTAAATATGAATTAGCTAATGCTTCAAGCTTTGTTTTCTTAGCACTAGAAGCAGCATTAAAACGTTTCATCCATGTTTTATTATTTTCGAACAATCTATCTGCTGTATCAATTAAATCTTTTTCTTCAAATTTAGGCCTAATCACATAAAAATAAATGTCATTAGAATCAGAATGAATATTAAATGAAATAGAGTGAAATAGATACATGTTTAATTACTACCTCTGCACCAACAGCGCTCTACTTGATTTGGAATTATCCAATCTCCAATTGCTTATACCTACAACTGAAACATTTGGATACTCTGCTGGATAACTTGGTTCTAGCAAAGAATGTAAAACCTTCAATGGATTATGTGGACTTGTCTCGGCCAATCCAACTAATATATGTTTATAGAAATAAATAAATAATCATAAACGCTATAATTTTAAATTACTAAATTTGAATTTAAATTTAAATGCCTTCATCAAGCAGAACCACGGTATTTAAAGGATATTCCTTGGAACTGGTTGTTTGATAATTTTGTGCCTTTTTAAAGACCTTAACAATGCCGTCAGAAGTGGATGAAGATGAACCTTGATATGGAATAATATAAATCTGAAGAAACAATAATGAAAATAATTAGTAAATGTTGAAAAATCAATCATAAAGTTTTTCGCATGCTCGTACTTGTGGCAATGTTTTAAAATATGGATCATCCGAATCAGCACCGCGAAGGTTCTGACTAATTAAACGAATTGCTAATGATTTTGACGCCCTATTTGAAAATTTTATATTTAGATTGTGTATAAATTTTTTGCAGCATAAGCTGCCATGAATCATAATATCATAATAGATCTTACCCAGGTGCACCGATAATAAATACGGGAATTTTGGTAAATATGCAAACAATCATTACAAGCACATTTTCAAGTAATGCATCGTTCTCTGCAGTTTGCGGTGGCTTTGTCATTCTAACGATGTAATCTTTCTGTTCTTCCTTAATAATTTTTAGAAAGAGATCTTCTGTCATGGCTCGTGTTGCTTTTGCTATCTTGAATTCATTAAATACTTTGCATATTATTTCGCGATATTGTTTACGTAATGTTTGATCAAATATTCTAACTTGATAACTAAGACTTAAAGCTAGAATATAAGATCGAATAACAATTCCTTGACCCTCTTTTCCCATTCCAATAGGAGCAGGATATTGATGTTTTGAACGACTAGGACGTGGACGATCAATTAGGCTCTTGTGAAAGTACTTAACAAGTGTAATGGCACGTTTTACATCTCGCAAACTAACACTATGTGCTCCTTCATGTTGTCGGATAAATTCTTGCGAAGCAAATAATAATTCAGTAAATAATTTGGATGCTAATCCTTCTCCTTCTAAGTTTTTCTTAACCATAATACTAATATAGATTTTTTCATCTGATGGTTTTAATACACCGTAATCCCAAACGTAATCCAGAATTTGGTCAGGAAGTGGATGAACCTGGTAAACTAAATTACTATGTTCTTCATATCTTTTTGCCAAAAGACCTGCTTGTGTGTCACTTTTTAGCCGTAATCGATATGGATTGCAAGCTGAGAAGAGTCTGATATTGTGATGGATTTTTCGACCAAAAATTCTCCTATGTGCTATGAGATTAGCCAGTAATCCTATATGGTTGCATGTATTTATCTCATCAAAAAATAACCATATTTGACGTTCTTGTGCTGTTTTTTCTGCTTCTGCCATGAAATCTAGGATGTCTTGTTCTTTTATACCAGCGTGTAAATTTAAAGCTTCAAACTCAACATTTACGACTATCGATAAAAATTGGATTAAGCTTGTCTGTATATATTATAATAATATGCAACATATATATATATTTTAAGTATTATAACATTGAAAATAAATGCGACATAATAAAAAAATAAGGTCATTTAATTACCTTTCCACATCCAGCTTCTCCACAACAAACAACAGGAACATTAGCACGGGCTCGCAAAAGGATCAATGCCATTTTTAAAAGATTATCCGTAGAAAGCGCATATGGTGGATATTTGCGTTCTTCAAGTGTATTACGCGCCAAGCATTCCAACTTTTCTAAAATTCTATCCGGGGACATCTCATCATAATTGTCCAGTATGAATTCATTAGCTATTCCAGGTGTCCCAACATGTTGACTACTTAACAAGTTTTTAACATTTTGCGGAACCTTATTTCTGTCACGGTAAAGAGCACAAATAGAATCAGGTGTCTGCGATAAGAAAAATACCAATAAATGGTTTGAATCTTCCCAATGCTTAATAGTTCCTAAATTTGCATTTGCTGCATCAGATAAATTCTTTAATTGATCTGCTTTAGAGTTCACAGAACGTGTCGCGAAATCAGAAGAAACGTCCATTAAAGTTTCCAGCAAAGTTTTTCTGATATTATTGTCATTTACCATCTGCGTTAGTAATTCTACACGGAAAAATGCACTTGAAGACATCCGTAATAATTGATCAGCAAGAACGTTAATAAATATTTCAAGAAAACGATACGATGCAACATCTTGAGTACGATTTTTAAAGAAATAATTCTGAAAAAGTTGTTGACAACGTTCTTGAGGTATTGGCTCATCATCTTCTGTGAAGTCAATATCTATTCCATTAATGACATTTTGATCATGTGCATCCAAATATCTCGCAACTATTTGAGTTGAGCTTTTATGGCTATGGGAAATAATAAGATTATCGATATTCCAGGTTAAATGTTGCCTTGTTAAATATCCCGTAATTGGCAATGAATTTAACAAATATTGTTCCATAGTAGAAGCAACTTCTATAAAAACTAATGTCGATGGGATACAAACAAGATTGATTCCATTTCTTGCTATTCTAAGGGACAATAATTCAAATAAAAACATATTCACTTCGTAAAGATAGTCTATTAACATTATATTAAGATGCAAACTTTCAAACTCTCGAAATTCAGTTTCAGATAATCTTCGAACAAGTTCCCCAAATGTCATGCCATCACTAACTAAAAAGCTTCTTGGTATTAGGTCATTCTCAAAACTACGATCTTTAATACATAATTCGAATAAAATTGATTGCACTCGAATCACGTTGATCTAATCATTTTATTTTCTTATTTACTTTCTAAATCAAATACCATTCGTCCAATAATGGATTTTCAGATCATATATTGGATTAGAAAGCTACAATCTCTTATCGTTATGGTCACTATTTCTGAAATCTGCATCTAAGACTACATAGCGAATTATCATTTTTCAAATTGGGTTTTGAGGCTGACGAATTAAACATGGCTTTTTTAAAATGAACGATAACTCTTTCCTTAACTTCTAAAATCTTACGTATATAGGTGTTCCTTTTTAGGAGTTTTGTAATACGTAAGCATTTAAGTGTTTCTTTACACATGTACGACAATGATTAACGGTACACGTATTTCATTTGAAATACCCCCATGATTTTAGAATTACAGTACCGATATAATCAGATACAATTGACCTTTTTGAGGAAATGTATGTACATATGTATCATACATACAGTAACATTGTAAAAGTACCGGAAATTCGATAATAAATTCCGAAAATTTTGTTATATGATACTAACTGTTTATGTTAAACCCCATTAATATATATAATTTCTGTATACTGTAATTTTACAGTGAATTTCCTCTAGAAATCACGATGAGATGTGCAGAGTGTGAAATTAATAAACTTTCTAAAGAATTTCCCTCTGATACTATTTCAAAACAATGTAAACATATTCCGACTTGGTGTTTAAAGGTTGTCTACCGACCCTTTACAACATTTCTTCTCCACTCTTACGTATATGATAAATTATTGAGAATTGCTTTATCTTTTATTTATTTATTTATTTTATTTTTAGTGTTTAATAGGCTGTTTAGAAAAACATGATAATAAAGATGGTCCATTATGTCCTCAATGCAATGTTATGCTCACACAAAAAGAATTAGAAGCTTTAAAAATTACTTGGGAAAAAGCTCCGTTTTTGGTTGAAATTCCACATTTAAATAACGCTAAAAATAACAAAGAAGTGGCTGAAGAAAAAGGAGAGTTTTATGTTGCATTATTGAACGGTCAAAAGTATCCAATTAGATTTGAACAAGTTAAAACCGTTAGAGCATTGAAACAAGCATTAGTACAAAAAATTGGTGTTGAAAGTAGAAAGCAAAAATTGATATTTGAGGGCGTTGAATTAAAAGTTAATATTTAAACCTCTAAAATTAATGAAATCAATTCTATTACGATATATCTAATATATACAAAAATATTTTACATATTAGGATGCCAAAGCAAGAGGCGGTGGTGAAATGAGACTTGTTGAGTATGGCGTCCGTGAGGGAAGTCATATTCAACTCATTGTCGTTCTATACTCCATTACAAAAGATGTATCAATCGCAAATCTATCGTTTAATTTACATTGGGGATTCCCGGTAACAGGACAAGATTTTCTTGATGGAACTTGTTTAATTTATGCTGGTAGAGAGCTTTGGAAGACGTATGATTATGCTCATCAATTTTACCCTAGCATACCCTATATCAGGCATTCTGGAGATATTATCGATAATGCGAACCGGCGAGGTTCGTATCTAAAACAAATAGTTGCATTTATCTGCATAATTGATTATAAATATTCGACCCATCGTATCAATTTTTTAACAAGCATTTATTTTTAACTCTTTCATTAATACTTTATATATTCAGGCAACCATATAATTACAATCAAATTAGACCAATTACCTCCAGAAATTACTAAACTTTATTTTATCCTCAGCGCATGGGAATGTCCAAATATTGGTCATTTCAGAGATCCAAGCTTTTTACTATTTGATGAAGATTCACCAGAAAAAGAGCAATTATGTGATTATGCAATTCAAACAGCTGCAACTTCGCAAGCTGTGATAATGTGTTACGTTTCAAGGTCAATAGATGATACTTGGGAAGTTATCCCTGTTGGTCGTCTATCTAATGGAAATGCTACGGATTATACTCCTATTGAAATTTCTATTAGAGAATTAGAAGGGAATATTGGCCAATAGGTTTAGTTTAATTGCATAAAGTCACTTTATCTTGTTATATTTATATATAAATTTAAATATATATACAGTATATTCTAATGAATAAAAAGTTTGATATTGTACAATAAAGTTGATTTTATAAACCTATATTGTTAAAACATAGAGGGTATTATGGTGAAATGTGAATTAAATATAAATGATATTCGATTATTATTTACCCATTCTCACTATAATACACCTTTATCTTATGAATACTTTTTTTAATAATCAGGGAAATTCTATCCGTTAGTTACAATGAATATCCACTATAACATCATATAGTATTAATAATAAAATTTTTAATTGTTCTAGAGAATTACTCCGTTATATCGAGGGATCTACTTTAAACGGAGTCCTCTATAATGAGACTATATATTGTATAGCTGTATAGTGTGAAAAGGTAAATTGGTGCCTGGAAGTTGCTACTGTTCCGAGGTGGTACAGCAAAATCCTTGAAACCCCAAGAATCCCAGAGATCTCTAGAATCTCTTTGAATCCGTAGTTTAGTGAAAATTTCCGGATGACAAAGATAATATATACATATTAAAAACAGTTTTATCGGTATGACCTAGACTCATATTGGTTTTGGAGCATTTACACTTTACACCGATCAATGATCAGCCTTGATCTGGTCAAATGGTTATACTTTATATCAAATATATTACATATAAATATATATAATACGTATAATTTATAATATCTATTATATTAGATCACTTAATAGACCAGATACGACCAATTTAACCAAGAGATCATTGACCAACAAGTTTTGTCAATCAAATAATTTGACTAACCTCCGAATAATTTGTATTCTATGTTTGATTTGACTAATGTTAAAAATAGGGAAATTTGTCGATAAGGTGTTAATTGAGGTTAGGGTAGAATCGCCGCCCAAAAAAATTTCAAACTATTTCGATTTTTGACAAAATGATCGTTTTCTTTGATCGTTCTGCATTACCTGCTACACCTAATCTTGAAATTTGATTGGCCAGCGAAATTTTTTATAGTGGTAATTTTTGTATCTATCGTAAATCTGTGTATCATGTAGTTAAAACAAAATTTCATTGTTTCTAGAATTGGTAACTTCAATAATTTTTAAGTTTGATGGCGTAAATTGACATCGAATATGTATAAATTAATATGTGTACTGTGCATAAAATTGCATTTTATCTTAGAAATTGTCCATTTCAAAATATTTAATTTATCCGGTAACCCGGGTAACTTGTCATTAAAATACATAGGTCGGGATTTTCTCACAGGGTCAAATCCTTTTTTTCGTTTTAAGATATCGAAAAAAAATACCGTAGCATTTAAACAAGAATGGAAGAAAGTCATAGCAAAGAACCTCCACAAATATTAGGCCCGGATGCGAATGAAAATGACGAAGTTGAAATTGACGATGAAGCTATTGATCCACGTTTTTCCATCACCTCGGTTTTTTATGTTCATTTACCACAAAACATAGATATAAATATTCATCAACCGGTAATTCTTGGTAGCTGCGCAACTTTAGGCAAATGGGATGTACCAAAAGTCTTACTTAAAAAAAAGGCTCAGAATTCAACCCTCTGGGTATCTAATCCTGTGCGCATTCCTACGCATGCGAATGTATATTATAAGTATGCTATATGTCGTCGCGAAAAAAATTGGTTTCGTAATAAAAGCAAATTGGTAATCGATTGTTTTGAAGGCTATGGTGAAGGAACAAATCGCGAAATGGAATTTCTCGAAAACCATTATGACTTATGGAATGAAAACAACTATATGTGGCTCAGTATAAAGACCCTTAAAACTGATTTTCAATTTGTCAATTGTATTTATGAAAAAATTAAAGATATTCAAACTTTAAAGGATAGAATTATGGAATATCAATATATATACCGTCGGTATAAAGAGCTTACTAATTCCGCAACAAATATCATTTTCATTCAGAATAAATTATTATCTAGCGTTTTCAAAGAACAACGGCTTTTCTTGTGCCTCCTTCTTGGATATTATATGCTCCAGCCAAATAAATTCACACAAGACAATATTTATCTTCCACGAGAATTTCCGTCTACTAATTTGCTAGAAGATCTTGTAAACGTAGAATCTGATTTTAGTCTCTCTGATACTAGGCACTTTGTTGCACAAGCAGTTAGAGCTTTAGTCCAGCATAATTCTAAGAATGGCTTCACAACATGGTTTAAAATGTTTGCCCTCGCACCGACACTTGACGAGTCTTACGCTTTCATAGACTCGATAGAGATTTATAATTTTGGAAATCGATCTGTTCAATTTTTTAACGCATTAGAAAATAATGTAAAACCTCATATTGATGAATTATATTGTATGAAGAACGTATTTTATAAAGCTGTACAGGTAATACTGTAATTTAAAAACGATTATTGACGTGATTATCTTTTAGATATTTCAAAACTAAAATTTATTTCTTTATATGATAGAAACTAATTTTATTATCTTATGACTTGGAAAGCCTATTATTCTTATGGCAAAAAATTATCGGGGTTGAGAAAACCGACAATCACTTACGCAATGCGATGAAGAAAAGAATTGATGATATAATAAAGCATGACAAACCTTTTCAACTTAAAGCGCATTTTTATATTTTCCCAAAAGAATTGCAACTTGATGTCGCGGAAAATTTCCGGGCAAAACTTTTGAAGTTACTAAAAGGAAGAAACTTTACGTGTAAATGGGACAATCCGGATATCGTCTCTTTTCAAGAGCTTCTTCAAGAGGTTAATTTAATATGGCCAATTGGAGAATACCTGGAAGTACTTGAATCAATTGCAGATTCCGATCAAATATTACTTTTGGAAACTTTCCCTGAAGTTATGAAATTTATCTTGAAATCAAAAGCCACGGGAAGAACCCTTGACCAAATCTTTGAGTCGTCAGTCAAATGGTTTGAGAGGATGATCTCTTTTCGCACACACAGAGTCACTGCCACTAATGGTCCAAAGAATAAAGAAAATATGGCTTACATTGTCCTTTATTATCTTTCTCAAGTATATCCTCTTGTTTCGAATCGTCAAAAATTTTCTTACAAATTAAAGGAACAAGCGGATAAAATAATACTTTCATTATCCGATGATGTTATATTCCCTCTTGCATCATGTATCGATGAGTTTCATGAAGATATTGTTGATCATTTTGGTGCTTTATTGAGACAAAAAATTGATCATTTTGTTCAAGACCCTGATGATAAACTTTTAAAAATGATAATGCGGACATGTAATAGCAAAGCGTATTTAAACGTGACTAATAAGTGAGTATTAATCACTTATTTATAGCATTTATTATTAATATTATTATATAATTAATATTCTTATATGATTTGTATTTTCTTTTCAAACCTAGTTTTTGTGAGAAAATATTATGCCTTATATTAGATCGTCTGCAACGAAATGATAAAATATTACATAATAAAGATACCTATCAGCTTTCATTGTTTCGATTTTCTCAATTTTGGACAGAAATATTTCTGGCAAGAGGTCATACAAACGAATTGCATTCTCACCCCTATGTTAAAAATGTACGCGATCACATAGTTAATGTGGCAACATCAATTGTTGAAAGCACGATTACCATGGGATTTCTTTTGGAATTATTTAAGTACTCTGGTGATAAAAATGAAGATCTTATAAAATATTTTAATTCCGCCATAGAAAGTCAACCAGGAAATATTGATCATCTTATAATAAATAATAAAACTCTCGTCGCTATACGTCGACAATGTCAGAAATACACGTTGACTTTTACGCGTCTTGACAAATTTTATGAAAGATTTTGTTCTTCTGCCTTGATAATCGATGCCAGAGAATACCATGAAGATTTACTACGTAAACGAGATGACATAAAAACCGTCACTCTTGGGGAATCAGATACTCGAGATTATTGGTCTATTCATTCCGCAACAATTGATGTTATGGAGACCTCTTATCACCTTGTTGAATCACAAACTTTCAATAATATTTTTCAGGCAATATTAAAGGCAGAAACACGAGAGTTAAATGTCGAAATTGTAACCACGGAAATAATGCAGATGGCTATTACACAATATAATACTATATGCGAAGGGTATGAAAAGTGGGAAAACATCAAATGCTCTGAAGCAGATAAATTCTGGAAACATGTCGATCCAAATAACATTCATTCTGAAATTGATTTTATGACTCGCGCTCTCCCAAATAAGCAACTACAGCTGTTAACTTCTTCAATTACATACTTAATTAACATTACATCATATAAAGAAAAATTAAATAACCTTTTAATTGTCATAGAAAACCTGAAAATAGCACACAATCCAAATCTCTGGGTTATAACATTTTCTAATTCATTAGGTGACGAAAATTTAGTACTTGGCAATTTACAAAAAAAAATTGGAGATATACACAAGCAGTTTAAGCAATTAAAATTATCGGAGGAATTCTGGTCAATAATTAAGGAAATGGCATGTTCAAAAGAATGCATTAATTTTTTACAAGAGCTTGTTGGTCATGATTTGAAAAATTTAATAAATGGTGCAGATGATCATTCTGACGAACGTTTAATCCAAGAAGATACTGTTTCAACATTTATTCAAGTGAAACAAATTTTAGAACCTTTACTAAGTAAAAATGAGGACACTGCTCAATTAGCGGTAGATAAGTTTATAAAAAGTTTAGTTGATATAATTAAAACAAACACATTACTTGCTTCTAAATTGAGGTTGTGTAATGCACATACACAAGCGTTAAAAAATATGTACAAAAATATTTCAAATCGAGGTGAGGTGACAAAAGAAAAGATTTTCTACGCAGTAACAAAAGGAGTATATTCTTTTATTAGAATAGAAAATGATGAATACAAATGTACTGCGACATTATCATATCCATCCAACAATATGCGTGATGGAGATGCGAAATTAACAAAGTATGCTTTTAGTGATCTTCAGGATTTGCGTGGACGTGCTCTTTTAATTGCTAAAGCACCTGTTGATACCAAAATGTTAGATGAAAATAATATGGTTAACGAAATCACCTCTTCTCATATGAATGAATTTGTAATCCAAGTAGATATATCACAACAGATAATTGATGTATCCTCACAGCTTGTAGAACTCGGTCACTTTGGA